ACCTATACTGAGAATCATTTAGCCATGGGTCTCACACAGAACCTATACTGAGAATCATTTAGCCATGGGTCTTTTAATTACCTCCATACACTCACTCAAAAAAATATTAATTAAGATTTTGTGTTCAAACCAGTCAAGGAACCTTAATGTGTACTTAATGCTTATCTAAACTACCCGAAGCTTGTAATTAGTATAGGCTTTTGAGATTTGGTAAGAATTGTTCATGGATATTGAGAGTTACAATAATGGAGGAGAGGAAGGTAAATTTTCTTGAAAGACAGATAGACAGATAGACAGAAAGGATGAGGGAGAAGAAGAAGAAGAAGAAGAAGAGGAAGAAGAAGAAGAAGAAGAAGAAGAAGAAGAAGAAGAAGAAGATTAAGAGAAGTGTGAAAAGGTCAGATGGACACGACAGACGATTTACCGTTACCATGACATCGCCACCCTCCCTCCTCGGCTCTTTCACCTGTGTGTGTGTGTGTGTGTGTGTGTGTGTGTGTGTGTGTGTGTGTGTGTGTGTGTGTGTGTGATAGAAGGACGCGAGATCATTTTGAAAACTACTTATGAATATTATTGTAAGAAAGACTAATGTAACATATGTTTATTACACTTTCTCTTACTATTTCTCTCTCTCTCTGTCTCTCTTGCTTTTTCTCTCTTTCTTCCACTGCTAATCTCTCTCTCTCTCTCTCTCCTTAACACCTATTCCTTCTCCATCTCCCTTTTCATTCTCCTTCTTTCTGTTACATTCTCTCTTTCTCATTCTCTAGTTCTCTCCCTTTCTTCTTATCTTCTTTTCATTTTCTTCACTTTTCTTTGTTTTCTCCTCTTCTTTTTCGTTCATTTTCTTTCCTTGACTCTCTTATTTTCTTCCTCCTTCTATTTTATTTATCACCATCTCTGTCATTCTCTCCTGTGTCTGTCTGTCTGTCTGTATGTCCCTAATTCTCTCTCTCTCTCTCTCTTGGTCTGTATTCTTGGTTACAGTCTACAGCTAATTCCGCAACAACAATAGTAATAATAATAATAATAATAATAATAATAATAATAATAATGCATACAACTCTCAATAAGGAGATAAGACCATTGACTTGAATCTATGTCCTCCCCCCTGTCATGGTATCCAGGTGTGCAGTCCAGGTAAGGTAGGATTTCACTCGTTTCTCATACATCCAACACAGCTGCCCAGAGTAATAGCTTTCACCATCCTGCAGGCGGTACAGCTTGATGTAAGAGCGAGTAGTTTCTAAGAACTGATGATCATTCAATAAGAAAAGGCAAACTTGATTGTTTATCGGGAAGTGAAGAGTGAGGAGACAGACAGACAGACAGACAGACAGACGTTATGCAGCTTTTCATGTAAGTATTATTCATTATATTTACTCTTATTCAGTGTTTTTTTTTCCCGGTTAATATTTGTTTAATTTATTCCAAGATTTAGTGAACAGTTGATTGTTGGAAAAATTATTAAGCATACAAAATGTAAAATAGGTTTATTGTTTGACTTATGGAAATAGTTAACATGAGACTGATGAAAACAATAATAATAATTATTAAATGGTAATAGTATTTAAATAATCATAAATAAATAAATAAATAACAACAACAATAACAACAACAATAATAATAATAATAATAAAATAATAATAATAATAATAACCACAATAACAACAACAACAATATTATTTTAACACCCTCCTAATAAAACCAAATAAAACAACACTCGATTATTTCACAAGACACAAATAAGCTAAGGATTTCTGATCATAATTTAGCTACAAGAGCTAAATATCTTGAAATAATCAGAGATATAAGCTTAATAGATGAACAAAAAGCTTGTGTGTGTGTGTGTGTGTGAGTGTGTGTGTGTGTGTGTGTGTGTGTGTGTGTGTGTGTGTGTGTGTGTGTGTGTGTGGAGGGATTAAGTGAGGCCAAAGGCAATGTTTGTTTATATATACGTGTTATGAGTTTTACATTGTGTTATATATTTCCTTTTAGCTGATCTGATTAACCTGTGTGTGTGTGTGTGTGTGTGTGTGTGTGTGTGTGTGTGTGTGTGTGTGTGTGTGTGTGTGTGTGTGTGTGTGTGTGTGTGTGTGTGTGTGTGTGTGTGTGTGTGTGTGTGTGTGTGTGTGTGTGTGTGTGTGTGTGTGTGTGTGTGTGTGTGTGTGTGTGTGTGTGTGGTGTGTGTGTGTGTGTGTGTGTTTGTGATTCCTTCAGTAATTGGTCTTTGTTTTATACACGAAATTATTCATCTTCGTCAAAAATTCTCGTTTATCGTTTACATATTCTTCTATTCCTGCTTCATCAATTAATTGTCTGTGTCTAGTGTTTGTTTTATTTTCTTAACTGTGTATAAACTCTTTCTTTATATATACTACGTTATGTTTTTCCCCCTAGACATACATTATTCATTTGTTTTCTCTTATACATCATACAACATCATACATTAGCCTCGCTTCAAATACAACATACATCATACATTAGCCTCTCTTCAAATACATCATACATAATACATTAGCCTCTCTTCAAATACATCATACATCATACATTAGCCTCTCTTTAAATACATCAGCCTCTTTTCAAATACATCACACATCATACATTAGCCTCTCTTCAAATACATCATACATCATACATTAGCCTCTCTTCAAATACATCATACATCATACATTAGCCTCTCTTCAAATACATCATACATCATACATCAGCCTCTCTTCAAATACATCATACATTAGCCTCTCTTCAAATACATCACACATCATACATTAGCCTCTCTCTTCAAATACATCATACATCATACATTTCCTACCATTTAGGAATATTCCCTGATTACAATTTCTCCAATGGGTTCCTGTTATCGTATTTGCTTTTCATTATTCTTCGTGCACATATTCTGATTTCCTATTTAGATTCGAATTCTCCTATTTCTCTGATCTCTCACCAATTTGTATTATTAATCAATTTGTATTTCTCTGTTAGGTATTTCCTTGAATTTTTGTATAACTGGTGTATGTATTCTGTCTTTGTGTATATATACGTATTGTGTATTCATTCATTCCTTGTATCTTTTTGCATCTATATATTATTCATATATACCCAACATTAGTTTATCTTAGCGCCATGTAGTGTGTATATATCCTCGTATATATTACATGATGATCGGGGTGAGTCTTCTACAGTATAAATGTTTGTTGGTATAAATATTCATCATCCCTTTCCTACTCCGTATCCTTTCATGTACTGTATATTCGTACCTATGTATATCTCTCTCCAATACATGTATATCTCAAGCTCTATACATCACCATGGGTATATATACTCCACGGCTGGTGGTGGTGGGTGAGCCACAGTCGACTGGTCCAAACCCAACCTCATCTTTGGCTGAAGCATCAAAGGTTCGCCTATGAGTTCACAGAAGCGAGGGATATTCAGCCAGGGCCGAGTTTATTTTACACTGTCGTCAGCAACTATAGCATGCATCTGCTCTCACTGCTCTTAACCACACACAGACAGACACACACATACATACACACACACACGAGACCACGCCGCTAATACGTACATCTATTACAAATATATACAATAGGAATACATTCTCTAAGATCCCCCATAACTGTTGATGATAAGAGGGTATTATCTGTAATAGTGTGGCGTCCGTCCTTACTGCTTAGAGCGCTAAGTTTCCTGAAGCAGGTATTGTCGGTGAGTAACACGCACACACACACACACACGCACACGCACACACACACACACACACATACACATGCCACCAGCACTCCCTCCACCTGCTAATGAGCATCGATTGTTGATAATTACTGTCGATGCTAATTAGTCTTGTATTTAGCTAATGAGGCAGTGCTGTTACATCTCCCACTACCACCACCACACACACCCGCGTCATATTATCTATATAATTTTATGAGCTCTCCCTACCTCCACACACACACACACACACACACATACTGCAGTACTTACCGTTATTGACATTATTGTTCAATATAAAACACTGGATCTATCATAATAACATAGTTTACATGAACTCAGTATTGTGTTTGTCTATGGTAGCACCTGTACTGTATTGTCGGTTTTAATTAAAGTTAAAGGCAAACTAATTCAGAATATTGTTTAAATGTAGTTACCTTCTGTACCTGTTCTTGTAACTGTACCCGTTGTTGTATTGGTCTTGTGAATTAAATAATGGAATTGTAAACTTATATAGCAGTGTGTATGTAGTGTTATAATAATACAAAAAACATCTGTACCTGTACTTGCATCTGTCCACCTGTACCTGTACTTGTATCAGTCCACCTGTACCTGTACTTGTATCTGTCCACCTGTAACTGTACTTGTATCTGTCCACCTGTACTGTACATGCATCTGTCCACCTGTAACTGTACTTGTATCTGTCCACCTGTACCTGTACTTGTATCTGTCCACCTGTACTGTACATGTATACGTTGCTGTAGTCTTAAAGTTCTTTTTGAATTGACAAAATAACATCAAGGGTGACAAGAGACACCTCTATGGTGACCCGTCCTGTCTTCCTCCTCCTCTGGCGACTCCAGCGCAAGGGGCCGTGGAAGTGGACACCCTCACTGACCCTCGCTGGTGTGTCAGGGTACCACAAGGTGGCAGCACAGTCTGGGCTCTACCCCCTCTTTCTCGCTCTCCTCCTCACCTCTCTTAACCCCCCAACCTCCCCTAACTCCCCCTATCCCCCACCATCCTTAGCCTCCCCAGGTTCCTTCTATACCGCATCGGTTATGTGTTACAGTGGACTCTGTTCTCTTGTGTCTCTCCAGCATGCTGTGGCTCAGCTAGGCCGTAGGGGTAACTCCAACATATAAATGCACTGCGGCTTTTGCAAGAAACTCCAAAAAGCCAAAAGCCCGATATCCTATTTGGTGGTGGTGGTCTTGAAGACTGGTATCCAAAGGGGGCGGAGCTTGAGCCAATGGCCGGGCAGCGCTGAGCCGCCCAGCCAGTGTAGCTGGTGGGGGTCTGCTGCCGTCGACCCAGAGTGTCAGTACTTGTTGAAAGCGCGCAGTGTGCGGACACGCTCACCGCTCGCTCCGCCACCTCTTGACAGCCGCTATTGGAATCCTTGAACCTTCCAAGCCTCTGACTTCTTGGCGTTTAGGAACTTTAGTGCAAGAGAGTGGAACTTGTGTGCTTCTGTTGGTGTAACCAATTCTTCCAACAGCTACGACTATTGTGTGATCGTGTACCTCCCTTATTGCCCTGACATATCCTAAAAGGAAGAAAGAGAAAAAGAGAGAAAAAAGGGATTTCGATGAGTGTTTACCAGACCCCACTTCTGGAATGACATCGCAGAGGATGAGGTTGGTGACGATGAGAGGGAGTGTTGTAGTTCTGCTGGTGCTGACAGTGGTGGCAGGGACCAGGCAGGTCCTAGGACACCCTGAGGACCTAAGGCTGGTGGACAACGGGTATGAGGGGCTCATGGTGGCCATCAGTGATTACGTCCCTCAGGAGCACTGCAACCACGTCATCCACGGACTCAAGGTATAGACAACAACAAAATCGTATGACTTCTTCTTGCTTCTCGCTATAAGGGAAGACTTTCAGTATTCTATCGCCTTTTTCTTTTGTAGAACTGAATACCGTCTGTCTCAACACTACTGACGAAGGAAAATCTCGGTGATTTTATGTTTCTTGCTTATCCCAGAGTCTAAATTATACAGTACTGACGACACGATACATCAGCAATATAACTGACAGAATATCACCACAAAACTATACAGTCTGCCTCTACACTACTGACGAGGGGGGTCATTAGTCTGTCTACCTGAGTGACTTGGTTCATGAGGATGGCAGGTGAGGTTATCCTTCCCTGTAACTCTAGAGGAGATAATTACAAATATATGTCGAGTGTCACACCTACTCTCTCCAATAATGATTAAAATGAATTATTAATCAGTGATAATCCCTTGAATCATAGCACGATTAGCTACGTCATATCTCATAATACATTAAATAAAACAAAAAACATGAAACCGTGTTAATGTAAAATTTATTAAGCTCCAATGATCATGTTGAGATCTATCATAATAATTATAACCAAACATCGTGATTATTAGTTAAGTATCTATTATATATGTTAGTATAGAACCCACGTAGTCACGATGTCTGATTAAAATTTATGTCATGGTTAAATAATGTAGACGATAACTCGAGTGTACGTCTGTCTAGTGAGAGAATTACACTCAGTTCCACTACCACCAGCCTCCGTGACTGTGAAAGCTAGCAGTCAATTGATTCACTGGCTGAAAGGTGACTGTGTACCCGAGTCTCACCGCGTCGATCAGATAGGCACCAGTCAGTCGGTTACGTTCATGATGCACCAGTCAGTTACGTTCATAATTGACCACACAGTTCTCAATTTGCATCAGTCACTTCTTACGCTTACGATGTACCAGTCAGTTTTTGCGTTCTTGATGTACCACTCAGTTGCGTTCACGAGATGCCAGTTATTTCATGATGCACCAGTCGATTAAGGTTGTGAGGGAGGTATTTGTCAGTTACCAGTCAATACGGTTCACCTGTCATTTACCTTTAAGATACGCCAGTCAGTGACGGTCATGATGAACCATTAATAAATTGAGCCACTCACTACCTGGGCTCATTAGACTGTATCGCACTCAGTCACCATACAGTCAGACATCATAGGTTCACCCCCTCAGAATAAAATTTACGTAATATTTTTATTATTATTATTATTTCAATTCTGATAAGTGGAGAGAATGAGCTTGACTGGGGCATTAACAAACTAAAGAAACTTAGTTGTTAATTGAGAACAACTTGGGAATGTTCAAAGTTATTGTTCACTTCAGGAGCTTGTTTGAGAGAACTATTTCTTATCAACTTTGCCATCACGTTCAATTTGGCCCCCAGTTAGTGAGGAAGTGTTGAGTGTAATGTTCAAGTTTATTATATCCTTACCACTGTTCATAATTACGTCGTGCTATAAGTTGTTCAATTATCATGTTTGTTCAGTGTAATAATATCCTTAACATGTGAACATTACGTATATTTATGATGCTGGTCAATAAAGAGTATTATTATGATAGTATTGAGTATAATAGCGAAGAGTATCATATCAATAACAACTAAATATTACACACAGGGGTATTATCATTACTATATGTTACTGAGAGTGTAATATTCAAATCTATCATGCCGGTATTCTCCCCCACATAAACAAACAAGATATAGACTCGTTTATATATGTATCGTAATCTTTCTTGAGGATATTTCGTTGTGTTGTCTAGTTCGTTGAGCCTCTTACCCCCCTGTGAAATTTATCTGCCAATACTAAGAGTTAATCCTTGCTGCTCTCCCTCTGTGTGTGTGTGTGTGTGTGTGTATAAAGTAACAAGATACGAGATGTAAAGGTTGTTTTTAGTAGCTGGGGGAATGTACTTGTGTGATATTGTGTGGGTAGTAAAACTCGTAGTGAATTTACATCAAAGACAACGTTAAAAGGTAGAGAAAGAGAGAGAGAGAGTGAAATATCCCATCAAGTCTGTTCCCCTCTTCTTGTAACATTAACACACACACACACACACTACTCATTTCTTTTTCTCTTGTAGTTTTCTCATAACATTTTTTCCTTACCCCTTCCTCCTCTTTCATTTCTTCCCGTGTCCTTATTTTTCTCTTAGCGTTTTTTTTCCAATATTCTCTCAAACTTGTTTACATTAAGCCTGAAGTGTCGTGTTGTCTGTCTTGGAGGAAGGAGAGAGGAAGGAAGGGGATGTCAACTGCATTACAGGTATCGTCCAGGTGTCATCCAGGTGTTGTGTAGCTCCGTCCAGGTGTTGCCGTCTGTATGTGTGTGTGTGCGGGTGTGTTTTCCCAGTGTTTTAGCTACTTCAGGTAACGTGATGCTTGTATCCTGTGTCACGGAGTCACTGAATGTCAACAGGGTGTCCGTTTCATAGCTTTCAGGGATGATAGAGTGTCCGTTTCAGCTTTCAGAGTCTTTTATAATCCACAGGGTGTCTATTTCAGCTAATAAAGAATATCTTTCAGATGTCATAGTGTTACTTATTGCTGATGGCATGTCTGTTTCAGCTTTCAAGAGTCAGTTTTAGCTGATAGGGGATCTTGACTTCAGTTTCAGCAAGAAGAGCATCTGTTTCAGCGGACCATTCACCTGTTTCATCTTAGGCCATCTACTGGATAGTATATAAACAATGGATTTTCACTATAATAATGTACCAAACATCTTCACTATATCCGGCACTAATTCTTTACTATACGTACATATGCCGTCACTGTGCGTACAAATGACGTCAGGTCATAACCATCTCACCATCCCTCACGTGAGGTCATCACTATTTCCTGTGTGATGTCATTACTGTTTTCGACGACAACAAATGACGTATTTATCTTTACTATCTCTCTCCTTCCCTCCCTCCCCCCTTCTCTTCCTCCCTCTATCTATCTATGTCTTTTCTCTAGATTAACATGCTCGTCAAAAACCCCATAATGTCTGTGACACTATTAGCTAAGAGGTTAAGCCAGTGCCAATTCTGATGCCAAGGAGTAACATAACATTGTGTCAGGACGTTCTCAGATCGACGCGACATCGCCTGTAGATCTGACCTCTATAGACCGTATTCCTCGCTGGATCGTTTGTCTGTCAGATCATTAAGTCTGTGTCTGATTGCAGTCCTTTTTGTTGTCAGTGTAATGCTAGTTCAGGTTCATCGTTAAGTTCTATTTTCTTATTGGCACTCGTTTTATCTTATTGCTAGGCCGACTGTTCAAGTGACAACAGTTTAATGCCATAATTGCTAGTTCTAGTATTATATTAACATTATTATTAGCGTTAGTCAATTCCTTGTTTTAGTTACATTGTTATTAATACGAGTCAGGGTTTTTTCATAGTTTTTTGAGGTCGCATCCCCCTTCCCATCCCCACCTCCCTATCCCCACCTCCCCATCCTTACCTCCCCCACAACCCCATCCCCCACTAAATAAAATTAACCAAAAGTCCCTCTCCCCATTTTTTACAGATGAAATCGGCACCAAATAATCAAGAGAGATAAATAACATGATAAACCTATACATATAAAGACACATAGAGAACTTCAATATATTCTTAAAGTTATTCCAATATGTATCCTCAGATTATACTTGTTCATGTATCCTCACAGTTATGTATTATTATTAGTATTATGACTACTATACATGCGTTGGCTGGTTGATAATATATTACTAATACAAAATCTCTCATTAATAACTATTACAGTAAGCTGAGCAGAATAATGATTAATTAAATGCTTTATGACAATCACTAAGTCATATGATTATCGGATAGACAGACAGACTCAGATGAACTATATACGTGTGGAAAAGCTCTCTACCGTCAATACAACTGACATTACATATCAACTTATTCTCAATATAACACTAAAAGAAAAAAATCCACACCTGCTGTTCCACACATACATTATACATATCAGTCAGTGATACTTTAGCCGTCATAGATCTGGAATAAAAGTCTCTATATATAATAGTCAACGAGTATATTATTCAGTACAGTTGGTGATATTGTTACGGCGGCGGCGACGTCCCTCAGAGCCCTCCTACAGGTAACTAACACCCCCCAGCAGTAGCCAGGAGGAAGGGCGGGGGGAGAGGGAGAGGGTCTTCGATGACTGTTATGAATATCGTGATTTTTTGTTTTTGTTTGGTGGGTGTTAAGTGTTCTCTGCCCACGAAATGAAAATATCAGGGGAACTGTGACAGCGTGGACTCTCTCGCCTAGGGACTGAGTGGACCCGAAACGTTAATTCTTCTCATCTGGGGACTAAATGGACCCCCAAAACGTTAATTCTTCTCACCTGGGGACTAAATAGACCCCAAAACGTTAATACTTCCCACATCCTCTCCTTGTTCAGAACCCTTGCTAGTATTAAAACATTACTAGTTGTAGTATTAAATTATAAGTAATCCTAGTGCCCAAACGTTACTAATTAATTCAATGCTAGTTCTGTCGTTCCATCACCAATTATACCTCACACCTGACCTTATAACTCAGTACTGCTAACTACTTCCGATACCTAGAGTAATTACCTGGGTTGGGATTCACTTCTCGCTAATTATCGATGTTATAGTCGTCATGATGTGAGTCTGACGATAGAACACCTTGACAGAAACCAGTGAGGTAGAATTAGATTATCAATTAGATCTCATTTTAAGGCGAGTTCTGCTTATGTTATTACCCGTAGTTCTGGTTCAGTGCAGGGTTTTTTTTTGCTGCTCATTCGTCATCCACAAGTTCTTGTCAATCTAACTTAACATAAATTAACCTAACCTAAGTTAAAGTAACTTAACAGAGACTAACCTAACCTAACTTAACATAAACTAATCTAACGTAACTTTAACTTAACAAAAATTAACCTAACTCCATATAACTAACATAGAATCACTGCTGTAATAGTATTTTGTCACTATTAGTTTTAGAATCAAAGCTATTAGTAGTGTTAGAATCA